CTATGATAATACTTCTTCTATTTGTTTTTCAAAAAATCTTATTTTACATTCTAGGGCAAAACATATAGAAATTAAACATCATTTTATTAAGGACTATATTTAGAAGGGAATTCTTTCTTTAAAATTTATAAACACAGACCATCAATGGGATGATGTCTTCACTAAACCCCTTTCTGAAGATAGATTTAATTTCATTCTGAATCATCTCAGTATGGAATTATGCCCTGAATGATAATGTAGTTTCTGTATATTTATACCCTTAGAACTTTTTGCTTTAATTCTTTTTGTGAACATATGAACAATTGTTCTTCAGAAGTGAGAAGGAAAGTTGTATTATGATCTATCCAGAAGATCTGAACATTCTCCAAAAATGTTTCATTTCTAAGATAGATGCAAGCAGTTCACAATATCAACATTTGTCAACTCTAAACGCAAGGTCACCCTCTAAGGCTGAACACATGTTCAAATTCTGAAGAGACTGAAATGGTTAGGTTAATGCATTGAGGCTCGGGTCAAATTGGTAATTTTTCCATATCTTCGCTATCCCTCTTTTCAGGAATCATTAAATGCACGTAATCATTTTTTTAAAATCCTTTTCTTTTAAATTAAAACTGCTATTTTTTCCGTTGGCTATTTATACTTCACTCTTTCACAAACACTACCACATATTCACTCTCACTCACTTTTATCTCTTCATCTGTTCATCTTTCAAAAAAAAACCTAAAAGAGTCTGTGTGAACAAATGGCTTCCTTTCAACAAATTTCTCAAGTTTCTCAAACCATTCCTGATTCTTCCTCCTCAAATGAAGAAAGGTACATCAAACCCTCAAGAACTCTTCTCACACCCATTGATTCTCTGGAAGTTCTTTATGAGCTTATTGTTGACTTCATAAGCATGAAAGAAAATGGGTATGATTTAACCCCTGATGTTGAGTTCCAAGGATGGACGAAGTATTTTGATCACCTCATGGGTCGAGTTTTCCAAAACTTGTGAAAGAATTATGGATCCATGCCATAACTTCAAATCATCAGGTAACATCCTACGTTATGGGAAAGAAGATCACCATCCCTGAAGATCTCATTGGGAAACTCATAGGTCATGACGACGGCGGTATTCGATGCAGTGATATGGAAGACAAAGGTTTTGAACTAACCATGGTATCAAAGGAAATTTTTACTTCTCACCTACCATCGAACAAAATCAAAGATCTGAAGGATTATCTCAAAATTTGGTCCAAAATAATTCTGGGATGCATCAACACAGGAAGCCTACCAGCACTCCAGACTACATCAACATAGATCAATAGTACCTTATGTACTTCATCGCCACCAAAACTAAAGTTCATCTTCCACATCTTTTGTTCAACCATCCGATGAATATTGTAAAAGAAACAAGAGAATAAGAAAGAATAAAGAGATATTAGATCCCTCTGGGAAGACTCATTTTAGATATTCTGATAGAAAACAGACTGATAAAACATCTGACTGAGGCTCAATAAGCTAATGTTATAGAAGCTTGTGCTAGTAAACCTCTAAATGCCAAGAATATGAAGAAGACGAAGATTATTGAAACTATTAAAAAGGACCCAACAATCACCACCAAGGAAGTCATCACCACCCGAAGAGTGCCTCTGAAGGATTTTCCTTTCTTCACTCAAGCAGACTCATCTCTAGAAATTGTTCTCAGGTATCTGAAAGCCTGCAAGAGTGGTGGTACAATCCCAGATGTGAACATTCTTGATCTAAGGCAACAACCTCTAGAAGTTGCTCCTAGAAAATCAAGAAAAAGGAAAGTAGCTGGAGAAGGAACTTCTCCGAAGACCTCCAAAGTTGCCAAAAAGAAAGGTAACTCATCTTTTGTTTCTGTTATTGAATAAGTATTTTTATCAACCTCTGAAAAACCCTCATCTCGAAAGCCCACAAAAGATCTATCTCCTCAAACCCTTGATGATTTTGACCTAGATATTGACATTTCAATACCTATAAATAATCCTCTTATTACTCCACCTTCTACCCATTTTGATCAGACTCAACCAGAACTTGCACAAGTTCTCTCAGATATTGATCAATTTGATCCACTGTTTGAAGCTCCCCAAACCGAAAATCCAAATTTTGACTCTGATACCACGACATCCATCCCTGGAATCACTTTCTCTCTTATGGTTTCTCAACCACCAATAATCCCCATAACTTCATCACAAACCTTCTCCATTCTAGATCTTCCATCTCCCTATCACTTAATACCACCCAACTCACCTATAATTCTTTCTGACTCTCCCTCTCCAAATAACTACCCAGAAGATCCCCTCAGAATAATCATTAATTTAGAATCTTGGGACAATCTTGTCAAAAGCTCTTAGAAAATTTCCGTTCCCAAACCAACACCAAAAATATCCAAAGCAGATGTTGGTAAATCTTTGCTGATTTTTGAAATAGAAATACTAGAATGGGTTAACGCTCTAAAGCTAGCTTGTATAGAGAATCTCAATCAAACTGCTTCTGATTCTCACTGGAATTAGTTCAGAAAATGGTTTAACTCTGAATCTCTAAAGCTAAAGGAGCTCAGCTATAAAATCGCTCAATAGAACTTTTGTGATCGCCTAAAAATCTTCAAGCATCAAGTTCTGCGACACTGGGTAAAGAAACCCCTCCTTCTGTTAGACAACACCCCATGGGAAGCCCCTCCGACATCAGAGTATAATGAACCATCTCCTGAACCTCTTCCTCTGGTCATGTTTCAAGGCAAAGGCAAGGAAGTCGAAGAATCTCCTACGCCAGAATCAACTGCAGTAAGTTCTGAGAATGTTGTCTCTTCTGCTGAAACAGCCTCATCTTCTCTTGTGCTGAAAACTCTAGAGGAGTTGAAGAAATAAATGTTGTGTTTAAGGAAAGGTTATACAAGCAGGATGAAACTAGCAAGGAAATTAAGGGGATGCTTGGGAAACAAGAGGAATCGAACAAACAGATCAAGAGTTTATTGGAAGCCTTGTTCACACGACTTCCACCTCCTCAACCATAGCTCTGAAAAATTATTTTGTTTATACTATTTGTTTCTTATTTCAATCTTCTGGTTATCTACCTCCTTCTGTTTATCTTAATCACTTTGAATACAAAATGCATTTTTATGTACGTGTTTTTATTGCTTTTTATTCTTGACAAAAGGGGGGAGAACGTAAGATATTTTGAATATAACAGCATCGAGACTCAGTCTCAAACATTTTGAATATCATAACTTCTATTTTTATCCTCTGAAAGCAAACAGAAAAAATTTATTGAAAAGCAACCTCTGAAAGTAACTTCTATTGTTGACGCATCAAAAACCTCTATCTCAAAGCTCTTATCAGAATATCTTCGGGGAAGTATTTTTACTTTATCTGAGTATCCAACTTAGGGGGAGACTTTAATTCTTTATGTTCTTAAGTATTCTATCAAAATATACAAGTTTTTGTCATCATCAAAAAGGGGGAGATTGTTAGAACATAGTTTAGTTCTACATCCCTGTAAGAGTTTTGATGATAACAAACACATGATATATATAAAAGAACAAATACGCTCTCTAATAATGTTTTTTTGATATGCAGGGAAATTCTGATGTAAGGAGCATGGAAGATGAGAAAGTTTCATTTTTGAAGCTATGTTGTGACACATCATACTTAGAAGCAAATTCGTGTAACACGCTTAAATAAAGAAGTTCTAATGTTACAACTTATGAATGAACCAGCATTGCATACCAAAACTCTAATATTCTGATAAGTGAAGTTCTGGAAAGAACTAAAGAAGTCTCGATGGTAACATTCATCTTCTGATATGATTCCAAGAAATCATATTCTGAAGTGTTATGATTTATTCATTGCAGGTCAAAAGTAACGACAGAATCAAGACAAGATCTCTATTTTTGGAAAGAACATTAACTACACTTTATCAAACTTCCAAAAGCATATTTTTCATGTCTCTCATGCATCGCCTATATAAAGAAGACTTGAAGAAGAAAAAGTATATAATACTACTGCGCACTGAAAAAGAAAAATATTATTACCTTTCTATCTTATGCTTTTCAATTGTGTATACATCACTATAGTGATATAGTTTTGTCTAGAAACCATCTTTGTACACACTGTTAATTATTTTATTGTGTAATACCTTGAGAAAACTGATTTGTGGTTTAAACTCACGAAGACATTGACAGTAGCCATCGTATATGTGTAATCAAGATTTAATTAGTGGATTAAGACCTCATTTGAGATAGGCGAAATCACCTTGGTGGATGGACTGGAGTAGTTTGAGTTCAAACAAACTAGGATAACCAACATGTCTACTGCTTTAATTTTGAAAACCCCAATTCAAACCCCCTTTCTTGTGTTTTTTCATTCTTCATCTTTGGGCTTTACATTCATTTTGGGCTAACTTACTTGTTAAGTATTTTAACCTAATTTCACTCTATAAATAGGACTCATTGTTGTCCTAATTTGGGGGGAGGGGGGACAATGATTCACAGATCAAAGTACCAACTTTTAAATCATATGATGAATGTAATTTGTTGGTACTTTGTTCTTTCAAAAACTCTCAGATACATATTATTTTTCCACACACTCTGAACCAAATTCCACCAAATTTTTCTCACTACATAATCTTTTTTTAGTGTAGTAGGTATTCAACACAAAAACTACTTATGACTACTTTTTTTTTATAAAACTTTATCCCTTTATAGTTTCAAAAAAATAATTTATTTTAATTTATGACCTTCATGTTGTGTTTTCTGAAAAAATAACTCAAACCAATAACCCCACACATTCACTTGAATGTTGGTTCTCAAAGAGTCCTACAACAAACAATTTACTATAACAAAAAGTGTTCATGGACAGTTTCAGTATCATATGGTTATGTTGTTCATATATTCACCGATCAATGTACACAGATCCAATCTTTTCAAAATGATGAGAACACACGACATCAACAAGGTTCAAATTATCATAAAATTGCAAAACAGAAACAGAAGAAAAATGGAAAGAAGACGCGAATCTGCAAATCTGACTCAGAACCACTTCATGACCCCTGCCACCTATGACGGCCACGGCCACCATCACCACGGTCGGAAAACGCATACGGTCACTTGCTCCCTCCATTTTGTCCACCTGCTCCGACCAGCTCCGCCTCCACTCACAACCGTCGAACCTCTTGTACTCCCGACCAGCAGCCGCGCCAACACACCAACCCCTGTGTCAACTGTCGAGCGCCTTCACCGTGCCGTCACATCAACTCCTGGCCGCTGCCACCTCTTACGAACACGACCCCCATCTGATCCTTTTTCTAATCGCATCGTTCTCAGTTCCGCACAGCCTCCGTCGAAACCTACTTCGCCATCGGACAGGCATCCTCTCATTCATAGATCTGCCATGTTATAACAATAGCTTATCTTTTATTTGAAAACTTAATATTTGATTTTTGTTGTTTTTGTACTGTGGTGAGAATAGAAAAAACTAGCTTCCATGGAGGATGAAGTTAAAATTGAAACATAGAAAGGAGGCTGATACTAAAAGGTGAGAAAGGTATTTGTTCATTGTCGTTTCAGTTTGTATTTATGGAATTTTTTTTATTAATAATCAAGTATTAAAATAATATTTCGCAAATAATCGAATTTCAGAAAAAATTACGCAAATAACCATGTTTCAGATGACTCCCCAAAGGAGGAGCCATCTGAAATGGTGCATGCACCTACCAATTTGTCCTAGGCGCCATCTCACTTGGCGCCTCCCTTGGCTTTTAGCCAAGTGAGATGGCGCATGCTCCTTAAAAGTGAGAGGAGGCGCCATCTCACTTGGCTCCTAGGGCAAAACTAGGGCAAAATGCTGTTTTATAAATAATTCGTCTGTTTCTCTGAAATTTCTCACACTTTCTCGCACTGTATTTTTATTTTGTACTCTGTTATTTGCGTCATGACGTCGCCTATGATTTTTAGCAGAGATGGTTACGTTATCTTCTCCGCCACGAAACATGTGATGAAAATGAAATTCTGGCACATTCACTCCATGGAGCGTCTGAAGCGGGAGTTGATGCGATGGCTAGACGGAGACATTGCGGAGGGGGAAAAATTCGAAGGATCCAGCGAAAACGAACAACAACCTCACATGCGACAGGAAGACCTAATGTGTGGTTGGAGGAAGTCAAAACAGACAGCGATGTAATGTTGATGATGCGTGGGTCAGATGAAATTGTGTTAACAGTTGTAATTTCGTAGATGGAATATCGTTAATTATTCTTGTACGCGTTTTATTAATTGTAGCAAAATCTGTTAACGGAAAACCCAAATGTTTACAACACAATTAAGAAAAGATTTTATGTATTACAATATTTATGTGGTCGAGCCAGACGCCCGATTCAGACAGTTTTTGCGATTGTGTCCGACCTGACGGCATAAACCACACTTTCTTTCCAACCTGTCAAGATCGTCCATTTCTATTGTGATGCGCTTACTTTTGGGACGACCCTTCTTGTTCCTTCGCATTTGGTCATTGTGCCACACTATTTCGCCGTCGTATGCAGGCCAATAATCTGGTTTTGCTACCAAAGGAAAGTTGTTGTTGTAAACGTTGAGCAACGTTTCAGATTTGTAAATGTTTGACAGAAGTTACAGCGCGTCTTGATGGGTATGAGCACAAGCGGCAATGACATGAGAGCAAGGCATATGAAATGCTTGAAACCTGCCACAATCGCACCATTGAGAAGGTAGCATGACCATATATTCTTGTCTTGGCAGGCCTTCATTGTGGTCGATTGTCTCTTTCACAATGAAGTTGTGGCTGTGTCGGTCAAACCGTATAACCATATGAGTGTTGGCTTTAGCACTTTCAGCCTTAATGTATTTCATGCAGCTTTCACTCCATAGTTGTCCAGATTGCAACACCGCATTCCACATTTAACCTCTTTTGGAAAATAACACAGCCATCCTAAAATACGTAAATTTTACCAAGATAGTGATTGAGAGGTTTCGTATGCCTTTGAATACCCCATTCATTGATTCAATAAGATTCGTTGTCATATGCCCCCATCTTTGGCCATTATCGTATGACCTAGTCCATTTTTCCACCGGAATATTGTCGATCCACCTACCGGCTTCCGGATTTGACAAACGGATCTCGTTGCGGTAATATTTGAATGTGGGTTGTGTCAATGCATATCCCGCATTCATAACCGCTTTCCTCAATGTTTTGTCCTTGATCTCCCTCGAGAAATTATGGACGATATGCCTAACGCAATAGACATGCGTAGAAGGAGGGTCATGCCAACCATTTGCTGGATTATTGTAGGCACTTTCAATGGAGGCATGTCTGTCCGAGATCAAATAGAGATCTGGTTGAGGAGCCACGTGTGTCCGCAGATTTTTCAGGAAAAAGCTCCAAGCACCACCGGTCTCCCCCTCGACAAGGGCAAATGCAATGGGGAAAATGTTGTTGTTGCCATCTTGTGCAACTGCCATCAGTAGCGTTCCTTTGTACTTCCCATACAACCAAGTCCCATCAATTTGTATAATTGGTTTGCAAGATGCAAACCCTGTGATGCATGGTTGAAATGCCCAAAACACGCGACTGAATATTCTGTTGCCATTTAGTAGACTACCATCTTGGGCGTATGCTGGCACTGTTTCCAGAACGTAAACACTACCTGGAGAATACGTCTTGAGTGCATTCAGGTAGCGGGGAAGTTCTTGGTATGAATCCTCCCAGTTTCCGTACACCATTTCAATCGCCTTAGTCTTTGCTAACCACGCCTTACGGTAAGACGGAGAGTAGTTAAAAACTGTGGTGATGTGGGAGATGATTGTTTTCACCTTCAAAGATGGGTCGTTACTGACCAGGGGTAGGATTTCTTGACAGATGAGATCATAGTTGAGTTTTCGGTGGTCCTGTGATTGAGTGGAACTTACACAAGTGTGGGTAGTCATGGAACCTATGACCCAGCAGTCACCCCTTAATTTGTATGATGCGGTCAGCTTGAACATACAGTCAGGGTGGAGACACTTGATCTTGTACCTTTCTGGGTTGACACGATCCACCTTAAAATCAACCGAGTTGAGCATGTGGAATTTTTTAATGGCCCTGATGCATTCCTCTCTGTTACAAAACTTGTCCTTCTCTTTTAAATTTTCATCCGACTGCATATACGGATTGAAAAATAAGTCAGTAGAAGGTTCATCTCCGCCCATGTTGAAGTTTGTCATGTGCGGAGGTGGTGTGTAGATTTTGTTTGCAGGAATACTAGGGATGCCATCATCGTCGGAATCATCATTCACCATTTCATCAAACTCTAACTCGTTATCTTCTTCTTCATCATCAACTGCATCTACCTCAGCTTGTTCATTCTCCAAAGGATCAACCTCTTGTGTCACCTGAGGCTCTCGCAGCATAACGTACAACTCAATAGAGTCGTACCCAGAATAGACATGGCTGGAAAACATATTTTGGAGATCCTCGTCATCTTGAACTTCAACCTTATAAAAAATTACTTGGTTGTTTCCAAAGAAAACTGGATTCTGATAAAATATCTGGGACACCGGGCCTCGTTCAAGTTTGGCCTCCAATCTTTTTTTGAAGTACGAGAAATTGGCTTTCCCATTTAAGAGAAATCAGATGTTGTCTGTGTCTCTAAACAAAAACCCAGCGGTGGGACAAATGTATGTCTCACCGTTGAAATGTGCTTTGACGATAAATTATGGTGCATAGGCCATTGCGTAGAATTGTTTTAAGGTTTGAAGGTTGGAATGTTTGAATTTTATGAGTGATTCGAAGGTTGGAATGTTTGAGGTTTATTGATTGTATGAAGGTTTGAATGCTGTAAGGTTTGAAGGTTGGAATGTTTGAACTTTATGAGTGATTCGAAAGTTTATGTGTTTGATTGTTTAAAGGTTTGAAGGTTTGATTGTAAGAACGTTTGAAGGTTTGAAGATTTGACAGATTAAGTGAATGAATGTTATGATAAATGCAAGACTAAAAATTTCAATTAAGTAAGGATGCAACCCCCAAGGCTGCCAATAATGTTACATGCAAGGAATCCCAAAGGCTGTCACCTAGCCTGAGCCTAGCCTGCAACAAAGGACACCTCTTATTCGCCAATTGGGGTGGCGACACCATTCATTTTTGTACTCTTTCGCCAAGTCAAATGGCGCCTCCCTTACTGTTCAATCGTGATACATGCATGTAAATATGTAACCCCTAGGCTGCCACCTAGCCTGCGCCTACTCTGAACCTATACTGTATGTTGTAAGTCCCCTCCCATCACCTCCAATGGGCTTACATGCATTCAGGCAAGGAATCCCAAAGGCTGTCACCTAGCCTGAGCCTAGCCTGCAATAAAGGACACCTCTTATTCTCCAATTGGGGTGGAGACACCATTCATTTTTGTACTCTTTCGCCAAGTCAAATGGCGCCTCCCTTACTGTCCAATCGTGATACATGCATACAAATATGTAACCCCCTAGGTTGCCACCTAGCATGCGCCTACTCTGCACCTATACTGTATGTTGTAAGTCCCCTCCCATCACCTCCAATGGGCTTACATGAATTCAGGCAAGGAATCCCAAAGGATGTCACCTAGCCTGAGCCTAGCCTGCAACAAAGGACACCTCTTATTCGCCAATTGGGGTGGCGACACCATTCATTTTTGTACTCTTTCGCCAAGTCAAATGGCGCCTCCCTTACTGTCCAATCGTGATACATGCATGCAAATATGTAACCCCTAGGCTGCCACCTAGCCTGCGCCTACTCTGCACCTATACTGTATGTTGTAAGTCCCCTCTCATCACCTCCAATGGGCTTACATGCATTCAGGCAAGGAATCCCAACATTGTGGAGATGCACCATAGCGACCGTGTTAAGATGCAGTTCAGAATGCATCAAGAGATACCAAGTGATCCAACTTGTTTGTCCCCATGGCATCTTAAAAGGGTCGACGCCCAGTGGGGTCTTACCAACTGGAAAGACTTCGCTCCGGAATGGTGTAAGATGTGGCAGAGGCGTCACCGCTATGTCTTGCAATTCCTGGTTTTCCTTAATCAAGGTAATATGCGACACACAGATCAATATTTGTCTTGGTACAGGTCGGTTAGTAACCCTGAAATGCACGTGTCTCATCCAAGGTACTTGGTTGACCCACGCACACAATGGGCACAACCCTCGTTTCCCCAACAACAAACCCAAAATCCATCAACCTCCCACCAACCCCCAAGAAGAAACAGACCCACAAACACCCAACCACAGTCCCCACCATAACACAATTACACTCAAATGCCGCACAACCAACCACAATCACCACCACACTACCAATACCCCGATATGCCTCACACCCAACCACAATACCAATCCCAATACCAGCACAACCACATACCCCACACACAATTTCAGTCTTCCGTATATCCCAATATGGGCCCCTCAACATCCAGCCTTAGCCCTGATATGAGAATGTCGGAAGATTACGAACAAACCGACCCA